ATATATTTGAAAATCCGACAACACATGAAATTGAAATGGATATAACACCTAAATCAAATAAACAACAAAGTTTAATAAAAACTAAAATAGAATCCGTTCATTCCATTGATGAAAATTCAACAGGTGCTGATCTGTATGAACCAGGTGATATTGTTTGGTCAAAATTAGGTAGTTTTCCATGGTGGCCAGCTCTTATCGTATGTTAAATGTGTTTTCTTAAAATTATCAATTTTTCTTTCTTATTTTCTAGTATCGATGTCATGCTGAAGGTGGAATATATACAAAAACATCAAGTATGTATTAAATATAGAGATTTACAAAGTAATCATGCATCTCCGTGATCGAGTGTCTCGTTATTATGATCATAACAAAGACCCAAGCCGTGTAGAAATGTAAGGCTCTTGTGAAAGTCGACTCTAAGTTTCAGGTTTATATTTGACTTCGGATCGGAGTGTATGCAGATTTGTAGAGGAGGACTTCCTCTATTTAATAGTGTATGTTAGAGTACTGCGCGGGTTTGACTTTTAGCACCCGCACCCGACCCGAAGGCCTCTAGTGGGACCCGAGCCCGACCCGACCCGACAAGGTTCTACCCGAGCCCGACCCGACCCGACAAGGTTCAACCCGAGCCCGACCCGACCCGCTGATAGTCGAACCCGAACCCGACCCGAGAAACTAAATTCGCTTATTTCCAAAAGATAAACAACTTTATTTCAATGTTAACCACAAAAAATAACAAAAAATTGTTCCACCAAATAGCATTTGATTGTGGTTTATCACATAACGTATATTCACCACTTTGAAGCAATTTCCGAATCTTTTCTTTTGGATCCATTTGAAAAAGATAAAAATAATAACGAAAGTATGACTATAACAAAGTATCAGTTGTTTATAAATACAAAGAAAGCTCACATCCATATATGTGTATATATGTGTATCTATTGTTTGTAGTCATAAACCAATAGAATTATATTTCATTGTTCTTTGTATTTAACGTATACAATAATAGAGGGCAGAGGCATCTATCGCGAAAAAAATGTAACCCGAAAAAAATCCGAAATTTTCAACATCAAACCCGCACCCGACCCGACCCGCAGCTAATCGAACCCGTGCCCGACCCGACCCGACAGGATTGAACCCGCACCCGACCCGACCCGATAGGGTTGAACCCGCACCCGTCCGCGGGTGCGGGTCGGGTGCGGGTTCGGGTCGGGTCGGGTCGGGTTGCAGTACTCTAGTGTATGTATCAGAGCTCCGCAGGACGGAATGACTTTTTGGTCGTCCCGTGAAGCTCTGGTATATATTATCAAGTTCTATTGAGTACCAAAATTTTTGATAGATAGTACCATATTCGCTATATATTCTATAGTAGGTACAGCGAATGTGGCACCATCTATCGAAAATTTTGGTACTCAATAGAACTTGATAATACATACGCTATTAGACAGAGGAAGTTTTCCCCTACAAACCTGCATACATTCCCTTCCGGGGTCAAATCCTTATAGTCGCCTTCACTGCTTATTAATAAACTATAGCCAATATTGAAGAAAGGGTTTTCGAAAGTTTTATTGATATAGCCTTTACTGAATCCCGACAGTTATATATAACCATCAAATACTTCTTTAGATGATAATAGGTGATCCCATTTACCTCACAGAATAGAAATTCAACTTTAAATTAATACTTAAAAATCGAGATTAATTTTATCTAAAAATGGACATAAACTAATTAAAAATGAATCTTCCTATTGATCAGACGAAAAACTGATCTCAATATGGAGATGCAAGACAAATTAAATGTAATACGAATAAATTTTGAAATAGATCGTAATCAAAAAATTTTGTTCTTGGACATCTTTAGTTGGTACTGTAAATACAAATAAAATTATGATCGTGGAAATTTTCTATTTTTAAATAGAAAGAAAATTAAATTTAAATTTTCTTTATAGATTCAAATAATAAAACAAAACGACAATTTTTTGTTTATTTCTATGGAAAATATCTTGAATATGCATGGTTATCAACTCGTTCATTATTAAAATATGCTGGCTTAAATACTTTTATTCAAAATGCTGAAACAGCCGTTCGACAAGTAGATTTATTAGTTTCCTTTTTTTTTTGTTTTTATATTTTCATATTAAATAATTTTTCATAGTTAGGCTTCAACAAAATCAGAAAAATTAGAATTAGCTAATCGATATCAATTAAAAGTTTCAATGAAAAAACGTGTACAATGGTAGAATATTTTTATATCGATCTTTTAATGATCTTTTTTTTTTTTTCAATAATTGATTTTAGGGATGAAGCTATCGAATTAGCAGATCAGGCATTAACAATGACAAAAGATGGACGTATTAAACAATTTAGTGATTTATTAAATGGTGCACAAGTTAATATAAAAAAATCAAAGAATAGTATGGAAAATTTTATAGAAATAATTATGTTTTTCTTTTTTTCTACGTGTAATTTAATACATTAGGTGCATATCGTCGAAAAGCTTCTATTGATAAAAATGATGATTTAGAAGTAAATATTGAAATGAAATTTACAAACATTTTTGCCTGTGTTTGTTTTTTAGACAATATCAAATAAACGTCCTAATCGAATACTTTCAGTATCATCACTTTCTTCGGAATTACCTGATGGAACAAATACTATAGAAAAATTTTCTCAACCATCAATTCAAATTCAAAATGAAACAATACAATCGGATGATAATAATAAAAAGGAAGATGAACAACCAATAAAGAAGAAACGAGGTCGAAAACCAAAATCTGCTTTGAAAATAAACGAACAAGATAAGAATATATCAAATTTATCAGTAAGATTTGTCAAAATATTTTTTCTTAGAATTTGCTCTTTTCGCCTAACTCTTAACAATTAAAAATAGTAGCCTTTTGGTTTATTCACTCGATGGATATTACTTTTTTTGTTTTTGAGGTATCTTTCCTTAAGGGTATACACTCTTTTGTGACTATTGTTTAGTCTGAAGTAGTATCTATCTACTGACGAGGGAACCTTACCAAGTGATTAAAAGCTTCTGATGTGATATTTTGTCTATAGGTAGGACCTGATGAGACTAGAAAAAGCTCAAAAAGATAAGTTTCCATAGGCCTTCCTTTTAGAGCTATGGCTGATTCACTGGGTTTTTGGTACATGGTCCTTAGTGTGCGCTAAAAGTTTCAACGAAAATGGATCTTTCTTTCTCGAGATAATGAGCCGGAAAGAAGTGTCTACATTTCACAGAGCACTCAGAAAAAAAAAACGATTTTTCTTATATTTCGAGAAAGAAAGAAAGATTAGTTTTCGTTGAAATTTTTAGCGCACACTAAAGACCATGGGATCTACACTATGGGGAAAATTTCATCATTCGATTTTTTTCTAAATACCTTGCCATGGACCGAAAACTCAGTGAATCAGTCATAGCTCTGGAAGGAGGGCCTATGGGAACTTATCCTTTTTGGATTTTTCTAGTCTCACCACGTCCTACTATGGACAAAATATCATGTCAAAAGGTTTTGATCACTCGGTGAGATTCCTTTATGAGTACAAAAATTATCTTTAAACATTAAATCAAATTTACGCAATAGAAATAACGAATCATGTCTTTCTCGAATCAAATTTTTCATGTATATTATACACTCTTTAGAATGGTTTTTTTTTTGTTTTATTTCAAACAAAAAAATATTGTTCTGCTGATTTTTGATAGCTTGATTCACAACAACATGCTTTTTTTTTAAAGGTACCTTCGAAACTTTGACTTGCTTATTCTAAAGCCAAAAAATTTTCAGCTCGATAGAATATAGCATGGGACGAAAATCAAGTCTATGACAACTTTTGCTCTACTCATCAAGATCTACTTGCGCTGAAAGTTTCAAATTTTTCTGATGACCCATTCTTCAGCAATCACGAAAAGGGGGTAGGAGACCTTTATATTATTTAAAATAATTCGCCTAAAACCATAGAGCATTTAGCTGTGATCTTTAGTGTTAGTTGCTCGTAGTTTCAATAACTTTTATCCCTGCACCGCTCACAATAGAATCACCCGAACTGATACGTGCTGTTTGAGTTCATATCGAACATACAGGGACATCTTGATGAGTCTAGTGGAAGCCTTTTAGACTTTCATATCCATGGGTCTTTGAAGATAAATTATGATCGTTGTACTGAATGTTCGACCTAGGTTTGGTTATATGCCGGAACATAAAGAAAAAACAATATTTCGATGCGAAATTTCACCTATAAATAGTTCGAATAACTAGTAGAATATTCTAAAAGTTTCAGCCGAAAAGAATATTCCTTCATCGATATCTTGACAAAGGAACATTCTTTTAAATTGAAATTTTATGGATAAGATTTCACATCAAAATACTATTTTTTTGGTATTCCAGTATGTATCTAAAGCTAAATCGAAAAACTAGTAAAGCGACTATAATTGAGCTCCAACGGCTCATAGGGATCAGCTCTTTTAGATTTTTGCTAATCTCATCAAGATGTAAAGATGAAATAAGAAAAGATATTTTATAATAATAAAAATATAATTTTAGACATCAAATAACAATATTACTTATTCAATAAGAACAAAATTAAATCAATCAGTATTACCCGCTTCAAATGAAAATAAAATTTCATCATCATTTATGCATACTAATAAACAAACAAAAAGAATAAATAATGATAATGAAATAGAATATGAATATATACCATCATCTAATGATCAACAAATATCATCTTCATTTATTCATTTAACTCATGCAAATATTCCACCATTATCAAATTATGAACAAAAACAAATTGTTGAAGGTCTTCTTAATCATAATAAAGAAAAAACTTTAACATTAGATGAAGCTCGACTATTTGCTATTAATAAAGCTATTGAAATAGGTAAAATTTATTAAGAAAAAAAAAAAAAAAAAAAAATTAATTATTTTAATACTCATTGTTTAGTCTATGAAAATCATAATTATCGAATGGATAATATACCATCGGAATGGTTTTATGATTCTATTCTATTAAAATATCCTTCTATTGTATTTAAATATCGTTCATGGTTTGATCATGTCAAACCAGATATTATTCCCGATGGTATTGATATGATTAAATTAAAACAATGGCAAATAGCTCTTATGATTCAAG